AATCAAGAACGGCTGCATTCTTCGAGTTTAGGCTTTCTTCCTCTTTCTATTCCATTCCCTCCCTTTTTCTCGTTTTGCCACAGATAAAGCACAACACTGTTGGCAAACAACCAAGACTGAACGCTTGAGAGTTTTTCTTTTCAAGTTTCAAAGAAGAAAAAATACCAAAAGGGAAGAGAAAATTATTACAGGGTCCAAAGCAATATTTAGAAAAATACTCACTATTATAAAAAACATTTATAGTGCTAAAAATCTAGTGGCTTTAGGAGAAATAAGATCCTCAACACAACACATTTTGTCTTTGAGACTTCAAGGAACCCAAAACACGAGGAGGATATTAAAAAATGAAATCAGTACAAAAGACCCTGAAGGAGCTGCCCTGGATTTGGCAAAGGACAGTCTACCTGAACTACCTTCACTCCACACAGGCAAAAGGCGAAATCACAAAACTTAAATTTTGTCTCCCCTAAAATTGTTGTCTCTGTGAGTTTCTCAGCAAAGTGCAAGATGGAAACAAAAGTAGTACCAGAGCTCTGGACATTTCTGTGGTGCCAATAAATAATGACAACAAACGTGTAGACTTCTTTTCTTCATCTCAGGCATATCTTCTTGCTATAAGCTATTCAAAACTTGCAAATACCAATGTAGAAATTGAAACTATTTTTTCCAAAGGGCAATTCTGCAATATTTATGTATTCCTATAGAGTGCTGAAATACACGTGAGAGCATGTGATTTCCAAATCAAAGCTGTTCAGCTTTTCCAGCACTTCTTTCCAGCTTTGTTCCCTGCACCAAATTGTTGCCAGCACCAGCTCGTGAAGGAGAGGTTAGAGATATGGAGGGGACATGAAAAAAGCTGTGCCCTGGCACGTTGACATCATAGAATCATAGAATGGTTAGGGTTGGAAGGGACCTTAAAGATCATCTAGTTCCAACCCCCCTGCCATGGGCAAGAAAACCCTCCACTACACCAGGTTGCCCAAAGCCTCGTCCAACCTGGCCTTGAACACTGCCAGGGATGGGGCAACAGCCCAGGGACATCAGCCCAGGACCTTAGTCCTGCTCAGCCGTGCCTCACTGCATCACAAAGCGTGCGCGGGGTGCGAGCTCGGAGTGCCAACACATAACACACTGTTGGCAGGCTGTTGGCATCCGTTGACAAAAACGACTCCCACTCTTTCGGCAGGGCCATGCAAAACGTTCCACTTACATAGCTAATTCGGAAATTCCTAAAAACCCAGTCCGTGTGCTCCTCCTCCAACAGCATCTCCACTGTGATGTCCCCGTATGCAACGGGATCTTCTGTAAAAGGCCAGTAATGGTCACATTTCACCTGAAAGGGAAATAAATACATACATGTTGTATTTATATAAATATATATATATATGCATACATAAAAAAGCACAAACAAAAGCATACTGAACCTCAGTTTTAGAAAAGTCTACAGCACTGTCTACTTGGTGCTGCAAAAAGAGGTAATATATCCTGCAATGACTTTCAGCCT